TTGAGCTTGTTGAAGCAGTATCAGAAAACATAACACTTGTATTCAGCTCATCAAACAGCCGACTGTGTCCTGGGGGCCAGAATCTGTTGGTCTGTTACTATGGCCGTGTTCCAGCCCTTCTCACAGCAGCTGTTTTCAAACACATTCTTGGGCTCATACTTATGGTATGATGTTAATCCATTTGTTCACTCGGTGATCTGTTGATGTGCAATCTCGGTCACTATCAAAACCCTACATATTCCGTAGGCTCCCGTCCAGGAATAGCACCAGGAGCTCTGCCTTGCTCAGAAGGAATTACTCAGATATGCTGCCTCTGGGTGTGTGATCTTCAGAGAGCCGGGGAGCTCCCTCTGTCCGCTGTCCTCTCATTACTCCACATGGCACCTGCAGCTTTACTGTGAACACACTTCATTCTGTGCATGTCTCACCTATTAGCACACAGCTCCAGTGGGACTGCGGCCTTCAGCTGCCCCAGGAAGTCCTCAGCAGAGGAAAACCTAGGAGCACTCTTAGAAGAGCCCAAGTTTAACAAGAAGAAAATCCAGTGTGGGGGCTCAAATCTGTGTCCTGCCCTTCATGTCCTCAGCATCTGTGTTCAGAATGAGCTTGTAAATCTTTATTCCCTTCTGCCTTAGCTGCCATGGTCACCAGTGTACATCTTCTCACCTGTCAATTGTCAGGTTAATGACAGTCAAGGTGCTTACACACTAAGAGGGAGAAAATGCCAAGAATAATGAAATGCTTTGACAGTTGTCTTAGTTACTGTCCTGTTGCTATGAAGAGACATCATGACCAGGAAACATATAGAAGAAAGCATTTAATTGGGGGGCTTGCTTATTGTTTCAGAGGGCTAGTCCATTATGATCATGGTGGAGAATGTAGTGGGGAACATTCAAAGGAAATCTCAAAGCCTACTACCAGTGACACATCTCTTCCAACAGGTCTACACCTCCTAATCCTTCCCAAACAGTTCCACCAACTAGGAACCAAGCATGCAAATGCATGAGCCTATGGGGTCTGTTCTCACTCAAATCCAAACCACCACTACAATAAAAGCACACACATAATCAGCAAGGCCAAAAGCTAGAGTAATGTTAGAGGCCACCTCTCTGATTATCGACCACAAAGCTGTAGCTGGTGTTTCTGGTTTCCTCACTCTGCTACTCATTCCACACTCCCTTCACTTCCAGGCGGTTGGTTACTGACTGTGTTAAGTTATTCCTTGACACTGAGAAGTCTGGAGGGCTTGCAGGTCTTCCCTACTTAGAGCTGTAATCTCCAGTAAGTGACCTACTATTTGGATACTTAGGCTGTTTCTGTCTTAAATACTAGAATTCACTAGGGATGACATCTGGGTCTGGAGTTTTCTCCATGAATATTTTTAGTTCATAGACTCAGTTTCTTCAGCACACACAAAACTGTTTATAGTTGTTAAATTCTGATTGAGTTTAGTAAGGGAAAATTTGTCCCTAAGAAATCGTGTCTTTTATAAAAACAAACTTTTGATTAGTTGTCCTGGTTGCTTGCAATAATAGCACTGTTAACTTTCCAAAGTCTATAGTTTCTGTACGATAGGACACAAGGGGTCACAAGCCTTACTTAGTGAAAGACAGCTCAAGCTTTGGTATACTGTACTTCCTTTAACATTTGGTTAAAAATATTTCCTAATTTCTACCCAAAATTCTTTAACTTATGGATAATTTGAAGTATTTTGTTTAGTTTTCAAATGTGTTACTGATTCAGAATATTTCATTATGAACAGAAGATGCATTTTATTGATTTCAACTTTTCAAAATATTGCCAAGACTTGTTTTATGGTCCAGAAGGGTCAGATTGGATACATGTGCAATGTGCTTTTGAGAGCAAATCTTGGAATGCAATACTCAGTGTCTGTTAATTCAGTTGAGATTTCAGACCTTCAGTTCATAGCAGGTTCACTCTCTGCTCTCTTGGTTCCTGGGGGTGCTGTACCAAAGATCTGTGCAGACGAGGGCCACGTTTGTGTCCTCTTTGTTCTTTGGACATATTCCTTGACATATTTTAAAGCTGTGCTCTCTGGTATGAAAGTTAGAATAATTATACCTTTATTGTGGATAAATTTTTACATATATAATAATTTCTTCTACATTTCTTAATCTTCACTCACATTTTTAGACAACTTTATTTTGTAAATTTTCTATTGATGATGGAATTGCACCTTTATTTTTGTTCAACTTTTCTTTCCTTATATTTTGGGTCTATTTTTGATAGTAGTTTATGATTGAGTTTTCTTGATTTGGTATAGTCCTAATGTGCCAAAGACAGTAATTCAATTTACATGGTAGGATTTCTAAACAGCCCATACCTTGTCTCTGAGGTCCTCATCTATTCAGTTAGCTATTGAGCAACTCAATGCAGATTCTGCCAATCTATTTATAGTTAGTATGTTAAAAACTAAATAATTAGCCTAATAAAAGATAGTCCTTGTACCATTTTCCCTCAGGCAATTATACCATTATCCACCAATCAAAATTTAAGACATCCACAAAATTTTCCTGTCTCTCATCCCCAAGACCACAGTAATGAAAACACAGTTCTGCCTCCTAATCACTCCTCAGAATGCCCTCTCCTTCTTTGCCACTGCTGCCCCATTAATTTACATTCTCCTTGGTTTTTATTTAGCCTCTCTAACGCTGACCTACCCAAGTCTCTCTGCTGTAAAACTGGCCAGGGTGACCTTTGTAAGCGTGGTCATGTATCCCTCTTGATTCACTGATGCTGTGGTTTCCCGTTCTCACATGAAAAAGTGTCTTCGTTTCAAGATGAAGAATTCATCCCAGTGTCTTCGGCTCCTCTATTCTGCTTCTTACCATGTTTTAGCTCACATTCTCTGTCCCTGTATTCTAAACCATATAGGTTTCTACTTTAGATCTCTAATTGTTACCACAAGCAAACATGCTCTTGTCCACTGTGCATGATCACTCAGCCAGCCTTGGAGACATTTCTAAGAAAACTGTGAACACCCATGTCTTTCTACACAGATATCTGCTCCTATGTTCATGGCCCTTATAAGCCCTGGAAATACATGCTTTACTGGACTGCTAATGCCTTGACGGCATGGCCATGCCTTACTCATATTTAGTATATAGTTAATACAGCGTTTAGCACAGACAATACTTCTGAATAAATGGGTAAATAATAAGCGAATGAATGCTACATTATTAATTTCTTCTGATCTAGATAATTTCTTCTCCATAGTAGTATACTTAAGTTATTACCTAATTCTCTCCTTCATGGGCTTTGTTCCTCCCGTCCCCCTCGCTCTTTCTTTCTTTCTTTCACAGATTTTTTTAGAGGACCCTGGAATCCTGTATCAGGACATAGGTTGAGATTTCTTTGCAAACCTTCAAGTTTCTCTGAGCAAACGAACCACTGAGACTGAAATGGTAAAACCATGTGTTAGGAAGAAGCCCAGGGTCAGGTATGGGAAGCCTGTAGCACTCCACTCCCTACACAGTACTTTGCCCAAGGAGACCAAGGTCACAGTGCTCAGGCTTGCTTGAAACTCTTTAGGTCCGTGTGTAAATACCAGAAGAGAGCACAGTAAGTTTCTGTTCTCAGAAAGCATTTTTGAGGCCAAAGTTGTCACATACAGATGCCAATCACTTTTTAAAAGTTACCTTCAAAGATGAGTCCTAAGGTATCCATTGGGATCTCCCTGCCTTACTTCATTGGGTAGGCTGGAGATTAAGACAATGGAAGACTGCAAACTAGGTACTCCAAGCATTCCGGGAAAGCCAAGATTTCAAATGCTCTGTCTCTTGTCTGACTACAGTTCTTCAGAGAATGGGCAGATAGTTGTTGATTTTGAGAACATTATACTGGCTTGCCCCCACCACATGCCCACATACCCACAGTCCTGGTGACGGTGGTAGAGATGGGTAATTTATCTGTAGCTTTTAAATATCCTTCTCCCTGATCATGTGTCACAAGAACTCATTCTGGCATGTGCTCCACAGACTGATGCCCACTGATGCTGGGGGTGAAAGCCCATTTGAATCTGATGGTGACCCCTGGAGAAAGACGGTCTGTATGGTCTCCCCACGTGCTCAGCATTTGGTTCATTTGTAATGAATGATGCATGACAAATGTGACCCTCTGGTGACGATGGTGGTAGGGATGAAAGGTTTTCATCAGCCCTTAAGGAAGCTTTGGGAACTGTCAGGGTCGTGAGTGACTTTAGTTCACTCAGCCCCTGGAGTTCACGCCGAGACAGAAAAGAAATCATAAAGTTCAAGGGCATCTTGGGCGGATAGAGGTGGGAGAGAAGTAGTTGTAACTAAGTTTTCTTTGACCTCAACTACTGGCCAGAGAGGCTACGCCCATTACCAGACGCTGTCTTAACTCTTGGTACTAAAAAGCCACCAAAAACTTTATCTCTCTCTCTACCTCTTTCATGCACTCTAGAACCCTGGTTTAATTAATCAGAAAAGTAGAAGAGTCAAAGATTCAAGCTTCGCCTTAAGACTAAGGAGTGGACCCTCTAAATGAAGTTCTAAATCAGAGGAGAAGCTTGAACTGACACACTCGGCCTCCGTTGGGTTGCCATCTCGAGCACCATACCCCATTTCCTCAGCTCCTGGTGCTTTGGAGGAAATCACTTGTGACACTTGAGGATAAACATTCTCTCTGTGATGTGGCTTTGCTTATAAACTAGGTTTAGGATGGAAGAAGCTCCCAAACCGATGTGTTCCCACTATGAGTTGACAGTAGAAGCTCCCAAACAAATGAGTTCCCGTTATGAGTTAACGGTATTTTTGTAAGTCCCTCCTACGCACCAACAAGGCTCAGGTTTCTGAGCCTTCTTAGAGACCCACACATTTGTTCTTGGGCTGAACTACAAGGAAGCCCTTTCTCTTTCAAAGAAATGTGAAAAGGTGGTCTTTCTTCTTCCTGAATGAGGATTTGCATGCAGCAAAAGACTTACCCATGCATACTTCTGAAAGGTCCATGAAAGTTACCTGTCCACTAAGTAGCTGAAGACACAGGAGTCCCCTTTCCTTCCTCCACAAGATGTATCTGTCCAGCACCGTGACTCCACTGTGAGAAAGGGGCACTGCCAGGTAGACTTTCCCCTTCTTCCGAGGAAAGAACTGGAGACCGAGATAAGAGTCACAGTTAAATATTTCAAAGCTACAAAAAGGCATAAGGAGTTATGCAATGTGCACACACTCCCCAGCTAAAATGAATAACTTGACCCAAGATAAGGCCTTCTACATGCCTATAGCACCTGACTTTCCAACGGATTCTCCAGTCTTCCATCCCTTCCCACATTTGGGTCCCAGGATTTTCTTATGTATTATTATGCCCTAAGTAGTTAAGCAAAAAACAGTGTTTCTTTCCTGATTTTAGAGTATAAAAATAGAAGTTTTTCTATTCTATCTATGAATGTATGCTCTGGCAAGTTTTCTGTTCCACTGCTTAGTTTTCCCATGTGGGTCATGTTTCATTATGAATTTCAGCAAGCGTGTTCTCTACTGTGTCATGTCTGCTGTGTACCGTTTGTTGTATCTGCCTTGTCATGGAATGCTTTCTTTCCTCCTGGGCAGATCGAAAAGGACATGGTACATTACCAGGACCCCAAGAGGCAGAATTCAGCAAATGCAAAACTGACACCTAAAAAAGATTTGCGTGAAAGAACATTGAAAAACAAAGTACAGTCAAAGACATTTGCATCCGCTCAGTTTCAGATGGAATTTAGGTCCATTGTGATTTCATTTTGTATGCAAAAGGCATAATTCTTTTGTATATATGTACGCTTATGAGGGTGTGCTGTGCACATGGGTTATTGCAAGCACATGGGTGAAGGTGCATGTGTCTCTGTGCCCATGGAGGCCAACAAAGGACTTTAGGTGTCTTGTTCCATCACTTACTCCTTTGGTACAGGGCCTGTCACTGACCCAGGAAGTGCACTGGTGGCCACGAAGCCTCACAGAGTGCTGGGGTTACTCCTATTGGGCTGTTTCTGTTGGTTCTAGGAACTCACGTCTTCAGGCTGTCAAACCAATGCTGATTCTCACTCAGCATCCCTGCAGCCTCCTGAGATGAATTCTTTGAAGAGAGTGACTTCAGGCTTTCTACACAACGCAGTGTGTACTTCAAAGCTGAAATAAAATGAGCGGAGGCCTGTTACACTCTTCATCAACTCAGTCTCCTGGAGTTTATGTGTTATTGTTCTCAGAGGATCACAGCAAGGTGAGGAGAGAGCCTGCCTTAACACTGGCAAGTCCCAAAGAGTTCCAGAAATACTGATTTGGATGAGGCCATGGATAGTATATCTTTTCTCCCCCGATCTTAAGCTTCTGGCCCAATAGCAGAGGACAAGAAGCTAGCAAGCTCCCCTAAAGGAGGCGAGGCAAGATTTGAAGGAATGAATTAACAAGTGCCTTGGGCAAGGTCATGGGGCACTGACTTCCAGGCCTGGCTTCTATTTCCCAGGCCTTCTATCTCTTGTGCCTTCTGCAAATGGTAGTCATTTTCTTATCTCTTGTGTTGCAGCCTCCCTAAGCCGGGAGATTTTGATCTCCTGAAAAGTGTTTATTAAATCCTCCTGAGGATTCCTTTGAAATACATCTCCTCCACATCTCTTCTCTCTCGTCACCCCCTCCCCCATCGTCACTTCACACCTGGCTGGTTAGCATGCTCCTAGCAGGACTAAGTGAGACCATCCTCTCCTCATCCACCCCCCACATGCTATCCCTCTTTCTCAGACAGTCTCCTTCTACAGCTTTGGAGACTCCTGGTCTTTAGGGCATCAAGTCAATACTCTGTTCTGGGCTTCCCAGGTTGAGAATTTTGTCCCATCTGTTGATCCTTATCTCTGGTTACCTCGTGCTCCACAATCTCAACTCTATCGTGTCTGATGTCTCCCAACTGTACAAACGTTCCGTGCTTGTGTCTGTGTCTCTCAGATGCTGTGTTTTGCTTCTGGAATACTTTATTCAAATCTTCAGACCACATGATCATTCACAGAACCTCAACCAACTTTCTGTTGCTTCTGAGTTCTGCAACATGAAACGATTGTTAACTGTATTCTTAAGGATCAAGTCAGAGCAGCCAACTTCCTGGCCTGGTTGAGTTTTAGTTCCTGGAAGAAAGCAGCTCTCCAGTGAGTCTGGGCTCAAAGCTCAGCCACAAGGTGCCAAGACCTGACCTGGACAGGTTGCATGCTCACATCTGTCGGTGCATTTATTCCTTTTGCCACACGAGCTTCTATTGTTAGTTCTACTCCAGATAAAAAAGTCATCACTCTCTTCACCAGAGACCCTAAGGAGTGTGCAGGACTGTAGGAGGAGGCAATGACGAAGACTGTCTCAGACTGCTTCAGAGGAAGCTAATGTTTTACATTAGAGCTGACCTGTGGCCCAAGATGTCTGTTACATGACTTTTTGAACTGTTATTCACAGCAGGGACTGGTATATAGTAACGCTACCTTTGCTTATCTTGATAACTCCAGTCAGAAATAAAAGTTCATTTTAAAATTATAATGTAGACTGCTTGGGGGGTTCTATTACAGTTGCATTCCCCTTTGAGTTATAATTCTAGAGTATTCCATCTTCCCTCTACCCCCACAACCTATGCTAGCTAGGATGTTTAAATTTAGAACACTGAATCTGAACAAACAATGCAGCCTGACCTTTCAGAAAAGCGCAAGAAACTGGTTTTGTTTGAAGGGAAGCAAACTATAAATGCTAAGGAAGCTGGTGATTTATGATGTAAAATTTCATTAGCAAACTAATAATAAAGGGGAAGCCAGGGCCACTGCCCCAGTGTGATCACAAGAAACCCAAATTATGTTTTCAGAGTATAACATAAGAATTAACTTAATGGTGGGTCTAAGTAAATTCATAAGAAGAAAACATTTTTTATTAATGCTTCTAATACTTAGAGGGGGTAGTTCTAGTCTTTTCATTTTGGGAAACCACTGATAAGTTAATATGCATTTATTAATTCAGTGGGGCACTGAGGGAAAGGCTGGTAATTAGCGAAGACAGTCGGGCTTTCTGTAAAACATCTTGGCTTTAGGAAGAGGCAGACTGCATCTTCCTCTTCATGCCTGCCTCTCCCTCCTGCTGTTTCCATTCATATCTGGGCTGAGAGGATGTGTTGCAATGCCCCTTTATGGGTCGGGAAACTAGAGCACAGGGACACACAAAAAGTGCATATTGGAACTTATGCACTTTTATGCTGGGGACAAGTGGCAGCGACTGTTCTTCTGCCTGCAGACCGAGGCTCAACCTAGAAGGCAAGGATGCATCCTGGGAATTCCTAGGACGGCGTCCTTGATGTGTTCTTGGGATCTGAGCCCATTCCTTGTCAAGATGGCCATGTCCACAGCCTTAATGTGTTAAGTTGGAGTGATGGACAAAAAGAAGTTCTTTGTTCTATTTCTTTACAGTGGACCTGCAGCACTTGTAAGTAGTAGAACACTTACAAGTGCTACCTACCAGCTGCTGACCCTTCAAGGTCTGGGACTGTATCTGGGTCAAGGCTGCTTTTCTGTGGGAAGTCCTGGCCAATCACAGGGCCAGACACATATAGACAGGAGCTGGCAATATCTACCTAAGGAAGGACTCTTGTCCCAGCCGCTTTTGTATTGGAGAGATCCGCTTGGCCTGGATGAGCTCATGCTAACACAAGCTGGGTTGCTTTCTGTTCAAGTCTCTTCCTTCCCCATCTTGACTCAGAGCAGTCAGAACAGACGAAAGCATCTCCCAGCTTCCTCCTGCGGGCTCTCACCATCTTTCATTCCCCACTGCGACATCTTGTGCACTCTCAACTCCGCCCTGGTGTCTGCATCCTGGGGAACCTGTTCTGGAGAAAACAGCTTGTCTGTGTCTAGCTGGCAGAGGCCTGTTTACAGCAACTGCTTTATTATCATTTCTGCGTAGCTCGGAGGTAGCACTAGACGGTATGCTCTCTAGCCTAACCAAACACTGACACCCCAATTGCAGGTTTCCTTTGCTTCATTCTCAGCCCCAGTTCCTTTGTCAGTGTGTTTGTCATCTACGACAATGGCAGGAGACCTTTTTTTTTTTTCTTCTTTTTTTTGGTTTTTCGAGACAGGGTTTCTCTGTGGTTTTGGAGCCTGTCCTGGAACTAGCTCTTGTAGACCAGGCTGGTCTCGAACTCATAGAGATCCACCTGCCTCTGTTTCCCGAGTGCTGGGATTAAAGCCGTGCGCCACCACCGCCCGGCTTGGCAGGAGACCTTTTTTAAGTTCACTGCCCAATAAAACAAACAAGCAAAATAGTGAACAATCAATTCAGGTTTTTTCCCAATCAGGTAAAAGTATTGAAAAATCATACTTCTATAGCTGTTTCATGAAGATAATATTTTTAACAAAAAGGAAAGAAAGAGAGAGAGAAAGGAAGAGAGAGAGAGAGAGAGAGAGAGAGAGAAGGGAGGGGGGAAGGAAAAAAGAAAGGAAGGAAGGAAGGAAGGAAGGAAGGAAGGAAGGAAGGAAGGAAGGAAGGAAGAAAAGAAAGCACACAAATCTGGGAACTGAGATAAAAAGTGTTCCCTGGAGCCCGTTCCTTGCACAGGGACAGCTTAGCTTCAGTACATCTTCAGGTGGCTTGATACTTGGTTTCCCTTTAGTATTCAGCAATAGCCCACTCTATGGCTCCTCCAGCTTGTTCACTCGGTCACCTGCTTACTGGCATCTTCACTGCAGCAGTTATGAATAAAATCCCTGTAAGTTCTTGGGCAGACATCTGTGTGGGAAGAAATCTCACATTCTTTGACTAATTACCATGTAATGAGCATATATGATGGGAGTGTTAACTTTTTAAAGGAATAAGCAAAGTGTCCTCCGAAGAGGTATTTCCAATGTGTGCTCCTCCACGTTCTTGTCACCAGGGGCCTTGCCTTTGCTTGGGATTTAGGCCATTACAACAGGTATGTAGTAGAATCTCATTATTGTTTTAAATTTCATTTTCCTGATGATGTATTATATAAAGAATCTTTTCATACACTTCTTTATTGACTGCATAGATTCTTTAATAAGGCGTCTCTTATGACCTTTGGTCTGTTTGTTGTTGTTATTCTCCAGACAAGATCTCAAAGATAGCCT